CCCTACAAAGGGTTAGAACTATAGTTACCCCGAGTTATCACCCCACTTATAACTACCCATGAACCTCCAAGTAGGTTCAGGGTGCCCTAAACCCTAAACCCCCAAACCCTAAAACCCTAAACCCTAATACCCTAAGGATGTCATTCGGTGAACGGCTGCGCTCATTTCAACTACTGGCCGAATCTTGGAGGAAGATGGGCTTAGGCAGCTTTCGGGCGTTTTTCCCCTAGGGGGCTTCGATGAGTAAGATAGTCCAAACACCCCTTAAAGGGTTATAGGGGGACGATATAGGGGGATTATAGGAGTAAAGGGTTATAGGGGATTGATATAGCGGGATTGAGTTTGGACTATAGCTCAGTTGAAGGCTCTGGCAACCTTTGCAGCAATCGCTTCGAGTAGTATTGCTAGTCACTACGTGACACAGATGACTCAAATCAAGAGCACGTTGCCCGAAGAATAACTTGGACATGGCTGTCGTAACATGCGGACCTGTTTACAGGGAGGGCGGGTAGAAAACATGGCTCGTGCATACGATGCGGCATGTGCTGAAGATGCGTGTCAGCACCAATCGCAAGATACTTGTCCGAATTGCGCTCGTCGCAAGTTGGCAAGCTGCACGAACACGCAGGAAGCCACCATGCTAGAGACAATTCTGAAACAGAACATGCTAGCACGACATGGCAACCGGACTTTGTCAAGCACTGCTCAAAACCAATCAGCCTTCTCATTGAGCGTGGAACCTGAACCTGAACGACTGCCGAACTGGATGTACTTGGCACTTATCCTTGCTGCGATATCGGGGTCGTTACGACATGCTGCAAACGAGTCTCTCGTTCTCCTTTCATGCTTTGACATGTCGTTTGCGAACTCGATGCGTTCGTTACTAGATTTTCGGAGTCCTTAAGGTGCAGAGTGTAGATACGTTGTCAAACGCGCCGATTGCAACCGGTCTGATCGGCACATTCGATACAAAAACGTGTCGAGGCAGACTTGATCCGGGCATGAGTCATGTGCGTACTTCCCACCAATCCCAGAAATCCTAGTACCCAAAGCTTGCAGCCTAAGCGAGACTCCTTTGTGTTGTCAGCTGAGGGATCACGGCTGCCATATCTCGGACAGCTGCTTTGCTTGTCTTAGACAACCAGGGAGGCGCGGATGAGCTTCAATGGACTACTACAGAACGACGCGACTAATTGCTTACTGTTTCTGCTGCTGCTGTTGCCACCACGACTACAGCTGCCACTCGTACCTTGAGTGTTGCTCGCACCGGTGCTCGCGCTGGTCTTAGTACTACTACTACTACT